TTCAAGGATTATTCGTAACCTGAAATATTTAATTCCCCTTGAATATTTGGGGTATTTGCCCTCAAATATATAGTTGTAACGGGTTGCTACGCTAGTAGAGCCTGAACGAACTAGAAATCTCTATGGCAGATTCTCCAACATCTAGCTAGACTCCCAGAACCAGCTAAGCTATAGCCCAGCTATAAAGGAAACAGACGTGTAGCACGGAGCACGTTTATTCAGTACGTATATTGATAGCGAATTGTGTTTTTGGCAAAACGATTAGTTAACAGATAAATCTAGCATAATTCGAGTGAACATTAATGGCTAAATATCTCTGAGTAGTGTTCTGTAGCAGGATTTCTATTGGTCATTGCCTGTGCTTCTCCGTAACCAATCCGTGTGGGAGGTTGCACGCCGCACCTTAAGCCTAGTGTGCGCGCCCGTGATGAAGTGCCCCACATAGTGATTTATCCAATATTGATATGATATTGCATAAGGTCGAGTTGGATTTTCCTTTCCCTTAAAAACATGTTTTCAATACCAATTATTGCCAATGAGATAAAAAATTTATTCTCCACATTTGTTGAGCCCAATAAAGTTAATCAAGCCATGTTTGCATTTGAATTTCCATAAGATAGTTCTAAAGTTGTCAAATTTGTTTAATTTAAATCTATTATGGCAAATAACTAAACATCATTGTAAAACGTTGAACTTTTGTCGCCCGAAAACCAAAAATAGAAATTCAATGATAGTGAGAAATGAGCCAAAAGCTATTATTATTCTACTTTTCTTTGGTTGATTTAAATATATCAAGATGAATTTTTCTTAAATAAAATGAAATGGATAAAGAGCAAGGAATGAACAAAAAATCGAACGAATTCCAAATTTCGACATAAAATTGGATGATTGAACAACTAAATGCTTCTTGAATGCATATATATAATGCCTAAAACAGTAAAGCATTAATGGTTATATATTATACATTAAAATTATGTACTGACTAATATTCCTAACCGATTTATGAAACGTTTTAAATTACATTATGCTCTACCGACGAGACCTTATTGGAACATTGTTGACGTTAAAAATTAATAGTGCTCTTTTTCTGGTAAATTTTATCTAAATAAATTTGCTTTTTATTTTAGTTTTATGCCTATAATATTTTTGATTTAATGTATTGTTAATTAGGAGGTATATCTAAAAATCCAGCGCTTTAGACATTGTCTCCTTTGTACACTTGTAAATAATGACAGAATTTATTGGATTTGAAGTTGAAATTATTACAGCTGCTTTTGAAACACTTTCTGGAATTGTCGCATACTGTGATGATTCGACAATCAATCTTTCCTCTCCCACAATCAACAGGAAAGAAATTTCGCAGCCAGAATTGTCTATTGAGTAATTTCATCTTTTAATACTATGATTATATCCCTATCAACCTTTTATCGTTTACTTTTAACTTCATAGTGCTACCGAAATCAGGAGCATTAAAGTGCTTTCTACCGCTGTTAATAGAAAACAAGTGAGTCAAAATTCAGATGGCGTTAAAAGAACTCCCTCGTCGCGGGAACTCAGGCGCGAACGTCTCAAGAAAATTCCTGGCGCAATTACTGCATACGTTTGTGATAAATCGCCACCAAGAGTTGTTAAAACTCCTCAACCCCAGATGATCAACCACAGGGTCACTTCATTAGATGACCTCAACAGATCTTACAAAGGGCAGAATGTCGTCAAGGATGACAGCCTTTCTTCCAATCGTTGCAAAAATACACCATATTTGAGTAAATTTTTAATTTGCCTTTTAATTTCGACACTTTAGATCAAAATTTACAGAGTGATTCCGCCTCTGGAATTGAAAGCGATTATGCAACTTCTAAACCTATTAAGCATACTGGAAGGCGGTCAAAATTGCGAGGAAGACGTAATTCTTCTCGGCAAAATGACTGCTTCTCTCTTCGTGTTGAGGATTTTCCGGAAACAGAGTTTGATTTTGAAGCTAATTTGGCAAAATTCGACAAAAAGGCGTTTTATGAAATGACAGATGCAAAGTGTGGTGGTGACAATGGGAAAAATTGCTACCCTCTTGACTTAAGTCCTGAACTTGAGCATATTCTTATTGAGGGACCTAATGGGATTGGTTATGTGACAGCTCGTAAGTTATTACTCTAACAATGCATTCTCTGTTACGCACCGTTAGGTTTTTGTATCATGCTGTTTTCATAGTTTGAATTTTCATGCTTATACTCATCATTTTTGTTTGTGGAAGTTGCATTAGCTTGAGGGTATAAACGTACACTTTAATTGTTTCGTCTCCTCTAATTTTGATTGAATGTAAATGCTCGTTCAATAATTTCTTCATCGGTTTGCTTCTGAGTCAATTTGATTTTCCTCGTTGATTTTCAGTTTTACCTGCCTTAATATATTTTTCATTTTTTTAACCAACAGTATTTACTTATGCTCGTGTGTGGGTTTTTATCGCTATTTCATGATTTGTGTTTTCTGTTCAATATTATGGTAATATTGTTTAATCGCAATTTTTCTATATATAATTTATGCCAAATGATCGAAAATTCTCTTTCTCTCAAAAATCGGTTAGCGCTTCAAATTGGTAATTGTTGAAGGGTTTTATCTCGTCTTCGACTTCTACTATTTTTTTCAGGCTGTTCATCCTACTTTCCGTTTTGATTTGTATGTCTGATATTCAATTCCACTCTTTCGTTGAGAATTCACGGTCCTATCTTCTTCTTTGTACAGCTGTTGCTAAAACCGTAATGGCCTCAACTCCCGTTAAAGCGTCCTCTGGATCCCCTGCGCCCAGTTTCTCCTCCGGTTCTAATTGGTTCACTCCCAGTGGGAAAAGAGTTCCCGTTGTGGCGCCAAGTGTACTCGATAGAGCGCTCCAATTTTTGGCGACTGGATGGGATCCCACGGGAATAACAAATTCCCTTCCCATGGGTCTCTCATGGACTCGCATCATTGAGATGGCTGGACAAGCTATTGTCAACAATGCTCTTTCCACTCTCAAACTGCAGCGCACATTTACCGCCCCCGAATCTCCTATTGCGTAAGTGCTATACTACCTTAAATGCTGGTACAGCGGTTGACGTGTTCGTCTACGAAGTCAGAGGTCACGTACTCGCTGCCAAACTCACTACTTAGTCGTAGCTACATCTCGAGTCTCCCATCATATGTGGTCTACGATGTCGCTCTATCCAAGATGATGGGAGTTGGAAGTGCCTTCCAAAGTGGGTTGGAACTTTCTAGGTTGACTCGCTTGTCATTAACAGAGTGCACTTCTAGTTTCCTTCATGAATGAACTCTATTGAAAATTTTCGAGTCTATTTATTTGACTCCTTGTTTTCCAAGTTTTAGTTTCTAGAAGTTGGGACAGAGTTGGTTGATATGCGTTTGTTCTTTCTATGAATGTGCAATCACCTTCGCCACGCCTTCTTTAAATTCTGGCTTTGCTAATTCAGCATCAGCATCAAGTAAGAGCATGAAGAACTGCAGATTTTGTGGCGTTTGAAAATAAGAGTTTTTTTATCTCCGCTTTCCTTTTCTTTAGAAAACAGCGACGTATATATAGACCTCAATTTTCAAACCTATGTTCAACTGATCTTTTAAATCTATATATTGTTTTGTGTGGTGATATCTCTTCATAGAAATTGCTTCAATGATGCAAAATTTAATTTTAGCCAAGCGGCGCAGAGCCAGTCGCATCCCCTCCGTGTCCTGGTTCTTCCCGGCGAAGAGAATTGGTCCGGCGCTCTCGCATTGAATCTAGCGCGTCATCTAGCCAATCGTGACTCAGCCTGCGTACTTCTTCACAACCCCCCTTCGCCAACATCTTCCTCAGCTCATCGACCCACTCCTCCCATTTCTTCCCACCCATTCCCTACCTACTCAGAGGAACTCATCCTTGCTCAAACCCTCACTCCTCAGAGCTCCAGTCTCTTCCATCCGAACAGGCCTCTCAACCAATCCTTCAGAACTCAGGATTCAAGCGGCGATGAAGAAAGCTTCGAGGATGAAGTTATCGGTTCTTTCGCTAAAGAAGGCAATCTTAAGTACTCCACTCGCCGTTTGTGGACTGGAAGAATCCCTGGATTGATTCTTGTCACCAAGTCCCCCTCGTCCATTGCTCGTCAACTCACAAGTGCTCATATTGATCTTCTGGTATTAGGTCAACCTCTTGAAGAATACTCAGCGGAAACCCGTCAGTGGTTAGAAAACATCAAGGGGATTGGTTGGGCTATTCAACTTGGAGCACTTAGACCACCGTTTAGAGCGAATTCTCTAGTCCCATCACAGGCGCTCAGGAGATGGGTAATTCAGCTGGGCTTGCCCGTTGCTTCTCCTATGCAAGTTAATGACTCACTTGAGGTCCACCTTGTCGATGTGGGACTGAATAAGTGGATTTTGAGTCGAATGACTACCGACCAGCGCTCGTTTCCTCCACCGGGTATGTTTGAGACGAGCCCGTGTATTCGTCTGATGAGCGATAGCAATGGAACCGCGTAAATGTTGAATGCTTATTAGTGTTGTGCATAGGGGGGGGGGGGAGAGGGGGAGTAGGATATTTGTTGATTTAACTTATATCTTTTGCGACCCCAGTCCTTTCACTCTTACACACACACACACGCACACACCCATCTTCTGTATGTGTTATATAGCATTCCACTTTTATTCTTGAACATTTTTGACAGGCACCTTGTTTTTATCAATTTTGAATTTGAAAATAAGTAAAATTGATCGGTTGGGGTGTTGCATGTGAAGTATCTTCAGAAGCAGAAATGGCTATTCTAACCGATCTTCATTACAACAACATGGGAAAATAGACAATTGTAATCAGCAAACTTATTAGTGATCACATCAAGGAGAGGAGAGAAGTAGCCTGAAGCGTTGGTGAATACGATGGTTGCTGGGTGTCTGTGATTGCAGGGTGGTTATGTGTAGATGGAGTAGCGCTGAGTGGAAAGGCGGCGAAGGAATCGACAACAGGTCCCCTTCTTCGCAGTTATTTCTGTGAAAAATATTCATAGGCCTAACCACCCTTGGAAACAGAGGGTGGTCTGCATAACCCCAATTTAGTCAAACGGCCTATAGGATTCGGGCATTGTAGGCGGAAGCACTAGAAGATGTTAAAGTGAGGCGTAATTAATGCTGAAATGCGGTTAATATATTAATTTGTTTATATCAGATGGCAGGCGTTTTGATAGTTATCACTGGCCCCTTAGTTGACTACAGGCTTCACAGAGGGGAGGGAACAACAAAGTGACAAAAAGTCGAGTTTGGAGGGGGGGGGGGGACAGAAGAGTGTTTAATGGATGTAAAAATGACAAATAGATACAAAGGCAGAGAAAAGGTAAGATGAGTACTGTGAAAGTGGTCGAATCTGACATGCAGTGGGGGTGATGCTAGTTTGCAGTAAAGAGTCAACTGCCAGCTAATAGACTTTATTGCCGTATGAGTATACGTTACCACAGGATGCACCACGTGGAGGTAAGTTTATCGCACACCCCATGAAGTAAATATTATACACCTAGAATTCGACCATGGTGTGGCATGGGTGCGCATATTCAAGGTACTCCGGTTCGTTCAAAGGGCACGACTGCTTTATTTCTAGATTTGGATGTTTATTGGCAATTTCATGAAGAAGGTGAAAGTAATTTACTGATGCAACAAACTGCTCAAGAATTATACCAAGTTTGGAGTCTATGTCTGCTAGGATTGAAACCATGACCTAAACCAACAGTAGATTGTCCACCGGGGTGGTAATCAATGTGCTAGCGTTGGAAAGCCAGCCCCAATTAATTATTAAATCGCTTTTATCTCTTAAAGATGTGATTATTATAAAATCGAAAATGATATGTTAAATGCTAATAAAACATCCTATGGATTCGCACAGATACTTCTCTAACGTAAATTCCTTGAGAAATTATCATTATTGCTATATAAAATGTTAATTAAATCAAGGATTCTACAATGGAGAAAAACAGCAGGTATTGTTGCTTGAGAAATCTGAATTGCTTATAGGTTTAGTGGGTGTCTTGCGACACATGAGGATAGACCAGCAAATCGTCCAAGTTTTATTTTAAGAAGTTGTAAAACTAAAATTGAGGTTGAAGAATAAAAGCACTTACTGAAGGGTTTTGGAAATATCTAGGGCCATATTGTGTCAGCCTGTCCTCTCTATGAACTATAAACTGGGTGACATTAAGTGATCAGCATGAATAGAGAAGAGATTCATTAATGTTATATAATATTAGAGAAGAGGGGTGTGCGATTGACTTACCTCCACGTGGTGCATCCTGTAGCAACGTATACTCGTACGGCAAAGTCTATTAATCGGCAGTTGACCTCTGACTTCAAATTACCATCAACCCACTGTATGTCATATCCGACCACTTCACATTACTCGTCTTACCTTTTCCCTGACTTTGAATCTGACTGTCTGTCTATCTTACATCTGTGAATTACTCTTCTCTCCGTCCTCTCGAATTTTTCCCCTTTTGATGTTCCTCCTCCTCTCTTTTAAGCCCGAAGTCAGCAAAAGGGCTAATGATAATTATCAAAACGCCTGCTATACGAAATAAATAAATATTAGAGAAGATAGTTTAATCCAGAGCATTTATGTCGTAATTCATTTCATTCATTGAGTACATCAAAGGCATTGCTTACTGCAAAATTTAAGATTTTGGATTCAGTTAGTTTAAAATGAAATGATTTCATTTCGGAGATCATTTCAACACACCATCATTAAGGCATGTAAGTTTATATCAAGAAAGCAAAACAAAAGACGATATTTCATTTTTAAATTATTTCCAGGGAAAATCTAATTTGTGTAGGTTAAAAATTATATTCGATTGAAGATGCTACAGCACATTCCATTTAACATATTTAAACAAGCATTTCAACGATATTTTGATTCTCTTTGTTCATTATCCAAATAGTGAATCTTCATTTTGCTTCTAACACCTCAATACCAGAAGTGATCTTTGACTCCCTTTTCAAAGATAAAACGCCAATGTTTCCATTCAAAATAAGCTCAAATTTCCCATAAGAAACTAATGAACCCAGAACAATTTTGTGTTGTTTACTAATATTGCTTATTGGAGGGGACCAAATGATTTAGTATTCTAGCAAATATTCCGCCTTGATATATTTTGAACTTTTAAGCAACTAACTAATTTTTTTTACCTGATGTAATTTGTAATGTCCATTTTTCGATTCAAGAAACCATGCAATTTCTCAATAGTTTATTAAACCCGATAAATAAAAGTGTAGACTTTGCCAAGAAACAAATTAGATTTTTTTCATTTTATTCAAACCAAAACCATTGAAGTGTTCGACTTATTGTTGTGATATAATGAAACGGACTATTTTACGTTAAAATATAAGGTAACTAATATACGATAACTACCTCATCGGCACAAAATAGAAAGTCACTAACATGCAAGATTACTAATGTTTAAATGATTACTATTTTTTTATTTCTTACAATTTGCAAATTAATATTGTTGATAGCACAACACTTTTTTCGGATTTTGCACCATAAATTTTTCAAGTATAAAAAAATTACTTTTTTCCATAAACGCAAATAACCTTAAAATGATGACTAAATTGGAAGAGAATGTTATTTCCATGAGAAGTAAATATTGTTAAAAAATAATTTGAACTATTCTATTTGAGTAATATGCGCATATTTATATTTAAAAAATTTAATCTTCCTAAGAATGCACAAGTCTCATACGCGATCTTGAATATTACGATCCAAGGTCTGGATTGTTTTAAATAGTTCCAGTCCTAGCGGCATATTCGATCTACACGTTGATTTTTCTACGCCTGCCGAAATGTCTCGTAATAAAAGGCCCGAACACGTAGCTCCTCCCGAAATTGCAAGTCTTGATAATATTTGATTTATTATTTATGTTTAGTTTTATGATGAGAAGGAGGCGGAAAAGTATACCTCGAAGTAAGTTCCAGCTTACCGAATATATGCTCTTATTTAGCTCTCACATCATCGAAATTCAAACTAAACTCTCAGAACGAGCAATTGAACTCTTGGCTCTTCCAGAAGAAAAGAATGCATTAATACTTGACATTGGGTAAGTCGTCACGATTGTGAAATACTATCAATTTAGTTGTGGTTCATGTCTCAGTGGTGAAGTTCTGACTGAAAGCGGTCTCTCATGGGTGGGTATCGACATTAGTAAGGCTATGTTAAATGTCGCGAAAGAACGTGAATGTGAAGGAGACCTTGTTTTGGGTGACATTGGTCAATTTCTCCCCTTTCGTAGCGGCACCTTTGACGGTGCCATTAGTATTTCTGCAGTTCAGTGGTTGTTCAACTCTGAAACCTCCAGCCAAAATCCCATCAGGCGAATTCGTACCTTTTTCGCTTCTCTATACGCTTGCTTGTCTCGAAGTTCTCGAGCTGTTTTACAAATCTACCCTGAAAGCTCTACTCAACTGGACCTACTTCAGACCGAGGCAATTAGGGCCGGCTTTACCGGAGGTATCGTAGTTGACTTCCCCAACAGTACTAGAGCCAAAAAGTAAGTTTATTTTGTGATATAATTTAATCATTTCCTCGTCTTTTTCTACCTAATTTCGTTTTTAATAGATATTTTATGGTATTGAATGTGGGAGTTATACGAAGTCTTCCACAAGCCATGACTGGTGATGAAGCTACCGGCGAGACTGTAACCATGGTGGAACAACGTCGTCAGGCGTTAAATAGACTCCGCGAGACCAGGAAAAATGGCAAGTGCGCAAAGAAGAGTGTCGCTTGGATAAAACACAAGAAGGACCTTGCTCGCAGACGTGGAAAGGACGTTGCACATGACTCCAAATTTACGGGACGAAGTCGTGGCCCAAGATTCTAATTGGTTTGTATAAATACAATCTCCCCTTATTTCTACTAACTTTTTGAACAGATAAAAAGAGCAAATGTTTCAATAATTGATATATCTTTTATAATAAAAATCTGTAAGGAATGCATCTAAATCTAAAATCATGAAATTATGAAATGGAGTCACGTGAATTAAAATCCTCCAGCGCCAACAAAAGTGCGCATCTTTTCATAGGAAAGCCAGAATGTGAGGGACCAAGGCGCCTGAGTGAAAAGGAAACAGTCAGCTCATTTAGATGATGATGTTCTTAATGGGGTGGATTAAAAAGTGAGACGTACCATACGTCCCCAGATTAGGAAGAACCCACGGTAGAGTTCAAAAAAGCCTTGAGTTCGCACGACCTTGACAGCGCAATCGATCATTCCATTGTAATGGGTAAATTTTGTAACACCATCAATCTTTTCTGCACGCTGGTTCATCAACTGGGTCTTGATGTAATCTGCAGGGGTTCCTAGGCAAGCAGATACGAAACCTGACATCGTGGAAGCACAGCCATGAAGAAGAGGACCATCAGTGAGGCCAAATCGGTGCTGCAACCATCGTTTTGCAGTATCATAGGTTGTCATCTCGCCCATATTCACAAGTGCAGCACGTTGAACGTTTGGAAGGCCACCTCGCCAAAGCCCCAGGAAACCACATTCTTTGAGCAGAAGCCGAAAATTCACCGACGGTGTGTTTGGATGTTTTGGTGGATGGCTTAAATAGGTTACTATTACGATTAATAAATGACAAATGTTGTCAAATTAGGTGATAGATGAGCAAGTATTTTTGGAATTGCGCTACCATCATTTTACTAGTTGCCCTTGAGTAAAATTAATGAGATAGGCCATTTTAAATGGTCATTAGTCCTCTTTCTTTTGCCATAAGAAAAGGGAAGAATGACCTTGTTTATTAATGAAACGATCGATAATTTCTAGAAGTAGGACCTCGGGGAATAAATTTTGACATTTGTGATTCGAAGGGCTAAACTATGAAATAGGCGACAAAAAAGTTAAAAACAATGAATTTGAAAATCAGATTGTGTTCGAACCTATTTTCGCTTCGCCGGGGCAAAAGAGTAAAACAATAGATCAAAATCGAGAAAAGAGACAGGAAGGGCTCCTCGCAATGAATGCTATCGCCAGTACTCACACAAACAAGCAAAGCGAAAGTGTCCGAGACCATTTAATAAGACGTGGCGTGTTGTTTACGATAAGCTGTGAATGCCAAGCCGGTACAAAAGGGTGGTGTATTTCCGGATTACAATCGGCCGAAGCCATACGCACAAACTTCACATACACGAAGAAGGAAAATGACAATGAAGTATTGGTTATGACAAAGTCAACAATAGCTACCACAGGCTACCTATTTAGTGCAGGATTAGCACTTTTTAAATAACAAAATGGCGGATTAGAGGAAAACGTAATTTAAATGTAAATGAGAAAATATATTATAAGCAGATAAGCAATTCGAAACACACCCGGTGGATGGAACCACTTTTCCGCATTTATCAAGCACTTCTGTTGAGGAAATCAGCTGCCGTTTTCGTTCCGTTTGCATTCGGACCTTTTTGAAAGAATCAGACACAGCAGGTAAGGCAACTTACCTTAAGGAGATCAGTTGGACTGCAGATGAATTGAGCCAAAGCACCGGAAATGATTCCACCCGCAGCTGCTCGAATGACGTAATTTCTCGATAGAGCTTCTTGCGACTCCTTCTTCTTTGCAAGCTCCATTTCGCGTCTGGCCTTGTCACTTGCAGGGGGCATATCAAAAACTTGATTTCTAATAATTTCGTAAATTGGCATTCTGGCTCCAGTATACACTTAACAAAAAACAATGCCATAAATGAAAGTCATAAAAAGAAGCTAATTAAAATGTTAAATCGTACAGAAATGCCGGTATAGGGCTGGCGATAGGCCTTGCCAAAAACTGAAGACTCCTTCATTCTTAACCATTGCAATGATCATCGGAATTAATCTTGTTCGCTTTTTAAATCCTGAAGTTTGACCCGAAACTTGTAGACGAGTTTTAACGCTATCAAGTGGGTAGGTTACTGAAGAAGAATATTCGAAAAAATGAAAATTTGTCCATACCAGTTTCGCCGACAAACGCAGAAATACAACATATTGTGAAATGCGTAATCTGTGGATGAGAATCATGAATTTCCCTGATCAATTTACGAAAATATGCACTATCCATAGTTCAAGATATAGGAGCAGTGGAGCCACTAGTTCAGAAGTCTCATTAATTACAAGTGCGTACCAAGCTAGAGAAATATTAAATTTAGTACAATATTCAAGGCCATAAATATGTTCGAGAGGTCTGGAAAGTGGAAAATTTAAGAACAAATAAAAGTTGATTGAGCAGAATATAATTATAGCAAAGAAGTCATACATATTTACTCACTATTATCGTATAACTATTTTATGACAGTATTTTAAATTTAAGTGGCGTTTTGCCATTTGACAGTTATATAAGATTACCTACGTTCGAACTTATTATATCTTCCAAATTTCGAAACTAAACTCCCGCATCTTATTAACTGATATTTATTTCTCAGTAATAAAGCAGAAGCCTCTAAATATTCTATTTCGATTAAGTAAAAACGAAATTTAAAACCACTTGTTAAAATTGCAAGATTTAATCCAATCTAATTAAATATTGTGTGGAATTGCATTCTATTTCAACTAAGCCTAAACCTAAAATATTTAAGATTAATTTAATTGACATCAAAATGTTGAATAACAAGACTTAAAGGACAAATATTCAATTTATTAAAATTATATAGAATGCACAAAGAAAAATATTAATTTCCCTTCCATTTTTGTATTAATTTTTTATTCACGGGTTTAGTTTAAAGTCTCTACATGCGACCTTTAATAACTAGTTATATTAGAGCGCCTAACACAACAGTAGTTTTAAAGGAGTCCTTTGCGCTTGGGTTGGTCTTTTTAGTCACAAATGCCATATTTCTTGCTATTCACTAATCAAAATTTATAATATATGCTCATTCGTTTATTTTAGCGTACTTATGGACTTTAATATTGAGGATATCGCAACACTTCAGTCGCCCTGTTATAATCCTCTGGGTTTTTACTCATTATTGTATGCTATTTCGATTCTTACTTATGCCTATATTTCTTTTAGATTGTGGTTTATTTCATTTATATGGCCTGTTCAGCTTTATCAGTTCATTATTTGCATTGGTCTTGGTGTAGCGCAAGATTATTACCCAAATAATTCTTACTTTGCACTAGTTAAGGAAAGAGTCAGTTCTATTAATGCATGGTGTCTACCAGCATTCCTTGGTTCGTTTTTTAATTTCTTCAATCACTGTAAATTTCGCTTTATAACTATTTATATAAATCAATCGAATTCCTTTTTCCTAGGTGAAGATAATTCACATCATATAATATCAATAGAAATTGGCATATTTTATCTCGGAATGCTAGTCTTCATTCGCCGATTACTTTTGCGGTGGACCCTTTCATACACTAAGTGGATTTGTAAGTTTTTATACTTATATGATTTTTTGCTTCAGACTATCCTGAAAACACACCGGATAATCCCATTAAAGGGAAGATTTGGCGATTTCTTCTCTGGTTACAATCAGGCACGGCTAAAACAACTTTTGACATGGAGAAAGTTCTACCATCGCTTCCCCTTCCCAGTGTTGATTTAACTATTAAACGGTTGATGGGCAGCTTGGCGCCTTACCTTGGCCATCAATCAGCACGGTATCAGGCTCTTGAAAGTGGCCTCAAGGTAAGAAATGTATTTTTTTAAAATTTCTTGGTAAAATCCTCTTATGACTATTTAATGAGAAATTAACCAAATAAGGGGGAAATAGCTATAGAAGTACATTAATATTTATAATAAGGATCGTGGACTACTCTTTCATATCCTCCAGATACTTCTTTTTTTCATATAAATTTTAAATTTTGGGGAGTTTTACTGCTTGAAAATCAAATTTCTTTTGTTTTGAACCAACATGTCAAATTTCAATGGTGATTATGGTAATTTTAATATCAAATAACGACAAGTTAGTCCCTCGAATTGTGATAATATTTTACGCAACTTAGTGCAGAATTATTATAAATAGTGCTACGCCATTCGTTTTAAGGTCTTCATGGCCATTTTCCTATTGGCGGAATGTTTGTGGTCTCGAACTAGTGATGTTTAATGTTTTGCACAATCCCAACTCCGACATATTGCATTTTATAACGAGATATTTCAAATTAGAAGATTGCAGAAACTTTCATTGGTAGAAACACATCCTTACATTAAAAGTTTAGTCTATTCTTTGTTGTTTATCTGTGTTCATTTGTTCTGCACTAATCAGTTCATTGCTCAACTCTTAGAGGGTATAATTTATTCTTCACGTCGTGGCTGCTTATTTGATCAGATTTCATTGTCTGTAATTTGGGTCTAAAATGACTTTATTCGTGGCGTTCAGAAATGCAATTTGGCAAAAATTCCAAATGCACCAACTGAGAGCACGTGCTGGCAATAAGGACCATCTCATGTGTAAATCCTGTTTTAGCATGCCTCATTACGTGCGCCAAGATCTAATTCATATACTCAGCTCAAATAATAAGTGTTGTTGCAACAATTGAAAATATTTTTTTTTCGCACTTTTTTTCTTTGCGCAGAAATGGGCAAAATCAGAGGGTCGAGGGTGTCAAAGGCGATTGAGGGCCAAAAAATGGATTTCTGGAAACTATGCAACACTTTGGTGGTAAGGAACTTATGAACACATTGAATTCTCCATTTGCAGAGCATGGGGAAGTGGAGGTACATTTTATTGAATTTTATTTTTCAATTTTAGGCAATCTCACAACTTCCTTTGCCATCGAAAGCAAACCTTCCTTGACACTTCCTTGGTAGCCTATCAGGAGTGCGATAATTACCAGCAATACACAGACAATCCTCTCGCTAGGTGACTTGCAACTTCTAGCTTATTTTTGCTTTAAACTTTTGTTTTTATGAAGTGAACTCAAACGCCACGTATTTCAATGACCTACATTAAATTTTTGGTGTAGTGAACTTTTTGTCATTCCAGGGCCTCGGTGTATCTCTACCTCTTCGGCAACCTGCGTTCACTTGTCAAAGCGGGTAGAATAAACCCTGACATGTTCCAAGACAAGGTGCCCTTGTGCATGACCCAATGGCGACACATATTTGCTACTACCAGGTGAATTTCTCAAAATGATTTCTTCTCTCTGTGCATGCATGCAAGAAGATGTGAACTAGACCTCTCCCCCACCGCATTTTGCATTAAAAGTGAATGTGTAATTAGTGCATTGTTTCTTTTTGTTGCTTACAGAACCCCATCAGAAAATGAGGATGAATTGTGGACTTACCCCACAACAGAGAGTAGAGCAAGTTTGCGCCATTAACACAATTACCCATTTTTTATAATAATAACAAATCGTATTCCCAATCGATCTTCATTTTGCTACTTCCAGCACATCATTGTTGTACATAACAACCATTTCTACAGCGTTCCACTCTTCACGAAATGGCGTCGAATTGTTTCGCCTGATTTGCTGCAGAAGATGCTTCAATACGTCGTGGATGATTCTACCAAGAAATCAGGTCGGTTTAGTGTGTTTTAGAATCACCTTTAAGTCGCGTTGAAACGTCTTGAAAAGGTGAAATTTTTTGACTAAATGCGTCTATTTATCCCTTTTAAGCCACTGAACGTGAAAAGCCCTTCTCACCGGCGATCCTAACAACGCTGGGTCGTGACGAGTGGCAGGGCTGTCGGTCGGACTTTTTCTCCTACGGCATCAACAATGACTCCATCAAAGAGGTCGAACGCGCCATTTGTTTTGTAAGTCTGCCTCAGAGATAATGAGCATTAAATTGAATTACCTTTATCCCTCTAAATTCTTTCAAGCCTCCTAAATCTAAACATCAGGAAATAAAATTAATTACAAAGTATTAATACTTATTCTTTCAAATTATAACCGTTGCTTTATTTCGAAAAAAAACAAACAAAAGCCAAAGAAAGGCTTTCTCCCTTCTCCGCTACGTTTTGTCTAAATATCCTTATTTATATGCGCGCGAGTTTTCGAATCCTTATTGGGATGAATAACTTATGATTTGGGGGAAAGTTTTAAGGTCTCCCTTAATGAACTCTCGTTTTGTTCAAGCTCTACATAGCATCTGATTCTCAAATGACACCCTATCAAGCCACCGGAAAACTCTGGTTCGACAAAAGTGTCAATTTCTGTGTCTTCCCGAATTCTCAAATTAGCATTCATGCCGATTGGACTTGCATGGATCCATGGATATTTGCTGGTCTCCTTGAACGCTTAAGAGTTGCAGAGTAGGTTGTCCCTGTGGTTTTGAATGGCTCATAGCTCTGCGGCAGAGTTGATATTTTTTTGTCCCTCAATTCTAGAACTCCAGATATGTATGACCATTCAACAGGAGATGCAGTTTGTATGCAAGATGCTGATCATGTATGTTCTGACCCAGAACCTGTGAATTGGCAGGTCTTCGATGAGATGGTTCCAGTGTACAAGATGGCGTTGAAACTTTGTGAATCGGTAAGACTTCACAACGCTAAATAATGCCTAGCCTTCCAGGTAATCAAGTCCCTCCGAGTGTCTGAAATTCACTTTTCTTTGTTTGGGCGCTCCAAAGTTAAAAAGGAATGGAATCTATGCGTCGATGCCTTCATTCAAGCTGTTCTCCATGTTGCATACTTTCGACTGACTGGACGGCTAGCACTTTGCGCCGAATACGTTCCTTGTCGACTTTATTCGAATGGGAGATCTGAAACTCTTCGTTCTCTTACTAATGAAATGGAAGACTTCATTAGGTAAGAGTCTCCGTAATTAGATATTCATTTCTTCTCAGTGCCTTTCATGCAAGCACTTCGGAATCGGGCATTAAACAAACGAAGATCTCTAAGTGTTTGAGCCTGCTCAAGACGGCCTGTCAGCGTCATGAGTTCTTGTTGAAGCATGCCACCTCTGGAAGGGGTGTTGATCGTCATCTACTTTCACTGAGTATTGCTAACAGTTTCAGAACATATACGGTAAGAACAATTATCATGTAATTTGTTTATCATTCAATTAAGTCCCTCTATATATAAAATCTTACAATTTTCAGAGAAATCTGCAAATGACTAATTAGATTATGTTTTTTTGCTTTTATTTGATAATTTTTTCACTTGCACCTGACGTGAATTGAGAGGAATGCCCTATGATAGTTAGCTGTATAATATGTGGACTCTATGAGGATTATAAAGAACATTTTATTACCTTAATTAATTTTACCCTATAAAAAGTTTAAACTATCTAATTGAATATATTTCCGTCAGAAAAACTTTAACTTCGACGTTTACTCACTAAGTTAAACCATTTTGGAGTTACAATAAGTCGAGTTAAGCTATAAACATCACGACAGCTTTTTAAAATAGGAAAAGGAATTGATTTCCAAATGAACATTTTAAATTAGTACAAATAATTATGCGTTGAATAATTGCAGTCCTTTTATTACATGTTTTAAAATTACGACAGGTTATGCTTAAATGGAAGTTAGTAAACATTCTCGTTCACGTAATTAATATTTATAAACTGGCGCTTCTGAGCAATGCCATCCACTGATATGTGTATACTATTGCATAATTTTTCAATTAAATTTCACGTTTGTTATCCCAATCTTTTATAGAGATGTGAAGCTCTTGATACAGTGATACAAATGCCATTTGACCTAATAACTTGCAGGCTACCTAATTCTTCGGCCAGGGTAATTCTTAACCACTTTAGAAAAATTATCAGAAATTATGAACGAAGATTATAAATGTTACCTAAATTTTTTTAGAACTCCTGGCAGATTATGTTGCCTTTGATGGACCAAGATGGTGCAATTCATGTGGCCTACACAAGTCGGGGAGATTCAGAAGTTTTTCATTTTACTATCTCAGGTCATGGGAATCGGGTGGAGAAATTCGGCGAGTTAGTGAAACAAACACTTTTCGACATCCAATGGTTATTTCCTCAAATGAGAACGTGACATATGATTTATTCTTTTTGTCTAGTAATTATTTCCTTGCTTATACACTTGCCTAAAAAGTTTGAAAGGAAAAATATAATATTTGTACAAAAGGTCAACTTTGATATGATTCATTAAAATGATGGAAATTATATAGCATCAGTAATATTGAATTCTTTAAGTTATACTAAACAGATTCTAAAGACATGGTTTAATAGTACTGCTCCATTTATAAATGAGAATTATATACCATTTTATGACTTGTAAGAGATAATCATGGTTGTTTAAATTTCGATACTTTCAAAAGAATTTGGAGTGTGGTGAAAGTAAGCGCAACAATGTCAAAAACATTCAAGACCCTTAGCTGCTAAGACTTCAGCAAACAATAGAAAATTGATTGCAGATACCAAGTAGTTAGGTGATTAGTGAATAACATAATATTGAGGCAGTAAAAAAAAGCGATGATAATTTAAGTTTTATTGAAGTTTAACTGCTGCGTGCAGATTTTTTGATTAGTCAACGTTGTTCTAACTTTGATCTATTACATATGTAACCATGATAAGAATTGTAATTGTTTCTATTTGCGCGTCATTTAAGGAGCGAAAACGCAAATAAAACGCTATTTATAATTACCATACATTTTCATTAATAAGAACTTTCATTCAATTGAAATACGATTAAATATAAATGTGTAATTTCCAGTAAAATTACAAACAAATTTTAAGATCATATTAAATTTGATCACTAAATTTAATAAATGGCAAAAGAGTTTTATGAGAAAACAAAAGTTGATGAGAACCGGTTTTTCAATTTAACAGAAATTATTACCTATTAGTTGTTTAACCAAACTGTTTATATAAACCTATTTTTGGCAACGTTTTGACTTCAAGAAGGCCAAATCGCAATATTTTACAGTGAACATTTGGTGTTATACTTCAACAAATATAAATATATTTACATTTGAATAACTAATATTCTTGCACTAATTACGCAGTAGTTTTGCAAATAATCAAAATCAAATCTTTTATTTTTTAAAATATATTTCATATATTGTAACTTTAAACCAAATTCGATTATTCTGAAGTAATGTTTTTTCTTTCTAAGTATTCGTTTTATGGTTTGATTTTAATATTACAGTTATATTAGCATTTCTTTAATGCTATTCCTTGGCATTATTTTTACCTCAATATCTATGTGTACTTGTTTTCTCTAGATAATATAGCTTTTAAATTGGTATTATTCGCTATAAGAGCAGTTTGTCATGACTGATTTGCCCACAACTGATTTTGTGCCGTCCAACGGTTTGTTCGTTGATTCCTCTCACAGTGCCCAACTGGGTAAGCGACCCAAAATCTTTTGCTAATAAATTTAGAATCCCAAGAAACCCGAATAGAATCGGTAATTGCTGCTAAGCCACCCTTGAGCCCGGTCTCCATCCACCAATCACAACGTACTACCGGCTCGAGCACCCTTCCTCGTCCCCCACAATATAATCAACCAATCGGAGCCGTCGCCAGTCTTGCAATTAGTGGAGGCATCAGTCAGGAGGAATTACTCCGCTTTGGTCAAAATCGACCACCACCTGTCTCTATTCGATCAACTCGAGCTGCTGCCATCACAACTCGTGTTAGCGGCTTTCGCGGGGGTCCTCGAAGAGGTCATCACACGGCTCCACCTGGGACTGTTCAAATAGGAAGGGTCACTCGTGTCACCCGATGTGATATCTGTCTCTCTCCCCCCAGTTCCACCTTCTGTAGCTTCCATCCAAGTCCTCGAAGTTCTCCTTTACATCTTACTCGAGTTGGAGGAATAGCTACTGTTAGCAACGACCGAAAGTCTTCCCTTCCAGGCTTGCCAACTGACCAACTTGTTCGAATTGGGCCAGGGAATGTAGTCAGCACCAAAGGACAAAACTATGCGAGAATAAACTGCTACCCTCAACCGTATAAATCTGCCTCAGTTGATACGATAGCAGAATCGGTCTCGCCTCCAAATGCTGTGAAAAATGGCAGAACGAGCCTTGGCAGCCCAATTTCTTCGAGAGTTTCAGTGCTCTCGGATACAACGGAGAACGTCGGGAGGAATAGTGCTCACTTTCCTGTTTCGCCCGGCGGGCATTCTACAAGCTCTGGTTAGTCATCTCACTTTTATAATTTTAACCGTTTACGGCCTAAATGTTTAATTTTTTTTTGAAAGTCCTATCTCTTGCATTTTTAACTTATTAAAACTGCTAAATTTGTATCCATCAAGGTCTCCAGCTATTAGCATTCTTGACATTTCATATGGTCTCTCTCTCTTATAACATTTATTAGTTTCATATTATATATATATATCAAATGGCAGGCGTCTTGATGGTTATCATTAGCCCTTTAGTTGACTTCAGGTTTCAAAGAGGGGAAGGAACATCGAATTGAAAAAGTCGACAGGGGGGGAACAGAAGAGTGTTTCAAAGATGTAAGAGACAAACACAAAGGTAGAACAAAGGTCAGGTGAGTACTGTGAAAACATTCGAACATGGCATAGAGTGAGGTGATATATATATATATATATATATATATATATACTCACTTACTTTCAGATTTTTATAGCAATGGATGTGTAAGTGGCCATGAGAGAGGGTGAAGATAGAGAATTGTTGATAGGATAAATAGACGAAATTCTGTCGCATCCTGGCAAAAGTGTTGCCAACATTTCTTCCCATCAGCCTAAATTTGTCCTTACTAACTTGAACATGCTTTTGGTACATTTTCTAAGCAATAGCAAATAAGGTATACAGCCAGCTAGATGTTTTCATATAACAAAGAAAACACAGCCGACAATTGTATTATTATTAGATAGTCATATTAGCTCAAATCCCAGATTCACTTATCGATCGATCAACTTTATTGTTGAGCGAATAGATTTATTATTATAAAATGGCACTTGCCCCTTAAAGGTGTGAAGAATTGGCTTAAAAATAAATGAGAGATTATATATAGTGAAATGGAATGGTCAATAGGAGAAATAGCTGTCAAAATATTCATTTTGTTGCTTACAAGACAGTAACGAAATAAGTGGTCCTAATCCTTTAACACCCTTGGGATTGTACGCCGTCCTCTTTCAAAATAGGCTATATTGGTACTAGTTCTGTAACAGAAGGCGCTTTTGACGCTTGAAACATGTTCATTGCATCTCTAGTCTTCACCTAATCCCCCCTCCCCAAACCTCATCACATCGGCGGCATCAGTCTACTGTGAGGGTACTTTTTTTGCACAAAAAAAACAATTCAGCCGTTGAAGGGTTGATACTTTTCAAATTGTGCTCGAGGTCAAGCGATCTCCCCATATAGTTGCATTTCGGTGTTGTTGTTACTCAGCTTTTGCTAATACTCTGACAAGCGGAGTAGAAGATATTTGTACGCAAATATCACATTCATGTGCTTTCTAAATTCTTAGTAAATGTTGCAGAGAAGATAGACTGAATTTTGTGTTAATAATATTTTTGAAAGGTGTCATAAAAAGTGTTTATTCTTAAAGTTGTGATGTGTCCTCATCTTTTTCAAATAGATATAGTTGAAAATTTACTGAAGTTGATTAACTACTTGCACTTCCTTGCAGAAGGCATTTGATAAAAGGCAGGGTTCTGTTGCCCACTGGGATATTTCGGTAAATTGCAATGAATTTGGTGAAATAAATGGACTGAAGTGGGACTCAGTCCCCCTCAATAATAATACCTTAAGTGTTCGACCAAATTAAGCCAGAAGTCTCTTTTTGGAGCGAATTGTTTTCTTCTTAAACAGAGTAGAAAGGAAAGGCTGTCCCACCCACCCCTCACCCCCCCGAGTGCAAATGCTGTGAACCAATGAGAGTGGAAAGAGACGAAATAACTGCGACAATTCACACTACGAGGCCATGGTAGTGACAACCAATTTGAGTTTACGAAAATTCATGCGAAAAGATTGGGGAATTTCGTTTTTTGGCTTCAAAATATCCTCGATAGGCTGACACTGATGCAATAAAAGCTTCAATTAGTCATTTCTATTTTCCACTTTGAATAATAACTTTTTCATTTATAACTATCCTTATTCTAAGGGAAAATATCTTTTCAGCTCATGTAGATTATATATATATATATATATATATATATATATATATATATATATATATATATATATATATATAAGGGCTAATGATAAATATCATAAAGCCTGCCATTTGAAATAAATATATATATATATATATATATATATATATATATATATATATCCCACTATGCTTGAAATCCAACACAAAAGAGAATATTCACAACCCAGTTGTCAAACTTAGTTAATAAGTGGTAAGGCTTCCGCTTTGCCCCAACTTGCATTCATCTTCTTGCAGACGGTTGCAGACGGTCAAGTGTTCAACTTTGGGGCCCATGTTGGCATTTACCCCGTTGGTGGCTAAACAACAAATGGAGGGGGGTGGGGGCTTCTATCGATTAGTAGCGTCGGTTGACGCATTCCACTTTATGGTCTCCCGCTGGCCAGTAAACAGTCAAGTCGTAATCAGAGCGCCGTTTCTCTTTCTGGCCAGAAGACATCTTTTATTAAATCTCAAAATGGGTGCCTCATGATTCACTCACAACACTCTATTTCTACTCTTTATATTGTAGCAAATCAAGTGGCCAAAAAAATAAGTGCCTCTAGGGAAATGCATAAACCACCAAAAAATATTTATAAATTAAAATTTTTCATGGGTGATTTTGAATAACTGCACTGCCTAAATCGAGGGAAAAACATTCTGGGTTTTCTATGCAAGTATGGAAAATAACAGCGAAATCTCATTCAACTTTTCCCCGTGACACACTTGAAAATGTGCACTTTTTAGACGAAACCGGGATGACAATATGCGAATCAATTTTAATTGACGGTTACTAATAGATTTCCATCCAGATATTTGCCTCTTCTAGTCGACTTTCTGAAATTGCTAACAATAAAAAGGTGCCACATTGCTGTCCACTCAAGGGTGGACAATAGTGGGATGAAGAGAGCTTTTCATTGTGGAAAATCAACAGCAATTGTGTGAGGAATAAGGATTGGAGGAGACGCTAGATATTCAAGCCTAGGTGTTGTTGGACAATAATTTATTTTATTTATTTATATCAAATGGCAGGCGTTTTGATAGGTATCATTAGCCCTTTAGTTGACTTCAGGCTTCTTTGATAGGTATCATTAGCCCTTTAGTTGACTTCGGGCTTCAGAGAAAGGAAGAGGAACACCAAAGTGGCAAAAAGTCGAGAGCTGGAAGGAACATCAAAGTGAAAAATTTCGAGATGGAGGGGAGGAGGAACATCAAAGTGAGAAAAATTCGATAGGGAGGAACGAAATAGTGGTTTAAAGATGTAAAAGGGACAGACACAAAGGTAGAGAAAAAGGTAAAATGAGTGCTATGGAAGTAGTCGAAAATGACATACAGTGGGGTGATGGTGGTTTGAAGTGAGAAGTCAGGTGTCAGTTAATAGACTTTTTGCCGTATGAGTATACGTTGCCCAGGGTGCACCACGTGGAGGTAAGTCTATGCATGCTCATTAATGAATAAACTATAAGAAATATTAATCCCGGCAAAAATGAAAAGCACTTTTCTAATCTTGGAATGATTTTTAAAATAATGCGAAAAAAAATAGTAAAAGATATTAAGTGGACGTGAAAGCGAGAGGATTTTAATTTTTTTGCTAAAAATAAAATCAGCATATCAGGAAAGTCTTGGGGTGATTTTCTAATCCTAAAGACACTGCTTTTTCCCTTAATGAGTATGGACTCGACCTTAAGTGAACTCCAGTGAACTCTATTACACGTTATGATCCAATTAGTTAATGGCAACCTACCAGTAACTGGCTAATGGAAGTATGCCATATTGAGGCGCAACATGGCGTTCCCTTTGGGTTGCCCCGGGACAGGTACCCCCTCCCCCCTCTTCAGAAAATCCGGAAATACGTCCAATAATCTTGATTCAGTGATATTTTGCTATCGGAAGACTTTTCGGTCAACCATTTGCATTGATCCACTTCCAAGAAGTCTTTGAATGACTAATTTCAAGGCTTGGGATGTGCGGAATCGTGGAGACAGACGTGTTTCAAGAGTTAACGTTTTTTTTCTAAAATTCCCTTTCATTCCAACTTTCTCTCCTTATACATTTCTACCTCTGTAGTTGAGCACCGTATGATATGGCGAATCTGCAATATATTCATGGATTTAGGGTAAATGGTCCATGATGTTTAAATTTATGTCCCCTTTGTGAAAATCTTAAAAGTGTGACGCGTATTATTGAATGAGAATTAGATGTTTTCCAAAAGGAGTGTAGGAGGAGGAGGAAAGTAGTACTGCTTGAATATGCAAACGTCTGACGCATGCATTCGTGAATAGAACCTAAACAGAACCAAGGGGGGGGGGTAGGAGAGAGAGGGAGAGTGAAAGAGGACGGGGGACGAAAGATCTCTCCCATTTAAATAATTCATCAGTCCTTTACTAGAGACAAATATCGTGCATAACCATTGACAATTTTATTGTATATGTAGTTGGGATTGAAGAGGCGAGGGGTGGGGTGGGGTGGGGCGGGTGCTCTTTCATTAAATAAATTTGATATATAATAAGTCATTCCATTTTAAGGATTTGTTCTTTTTCAAGTCAAGCTGATACTTCTCTACTTCCTCTATTGCAGCTGATGCCGTGTCTCGCAATGCAAATATGAGTTCCTGTCCAATTGCCTCGAATTCCGAAGAGGCGGTCCACTTCTTTGGCTCCTCATTTACAAGTGGACAAGGAGACGCAACCACAACTGGTGGTTCGGACACAACCACAACTGCTGCAGATGCTCTCGCCCGGAATTCACCAGCCAGGTGAGTTCATGTCATTACAGGGCTTGAGAAGCTGCACACTTATTTTAACAAAATAGGTTAATGATTTGAATCACTTTTTGCAAACCATCTGATCGGGGAGGGGGAAAGGATCGTGTTGAAGTGGTTTATGAGTGTTATTTATACGTAAAGTTGTGAGTGTAATGAGACATCCAGTCTCTACTGCGTGATTTAATATTTCATTAATCAACAATTGCGCCTATTTGATTGGTTATCCTCGCCTTCTCAGCTAATTGCTCGGTTGAATTAATTCAGCACTCGCTCTTGACACATCGAAATAACTGAGTTTTCTTTATTTGTTAAAAGGAGTAATATGTTAGTGAGTATTAACATTTTTATACTGATGGCTTCAACTTGAGATCTCCTTTGAGTGGACACTAAAACAAGAATATTATCCACAATAACTCTCAATTTTTATTGACTTTACCAATTCTTATATGCTCAATATAAGTTAGGGCCGATTGGAAAATAGCAAATGAAAAGTACAGTTGCTGTAGTCGGCTTGATAGATACTATTGTAAAACTGAGAGGCATATAACTATGACAAGCCTACTTTTATTTACTAATCAATAAGAAGAGCTTCAATATCGTGACGCAATTCGATCCATTTCAGCTTGTAAATAACGTGCTAATTGCATAATTCTATCATTTGATTTGATTAACTATCTTTCACGAATTCAAAGACACTGATGACCCTCCACCAGGTTCAGAGGAATCTACCCAAACGCTCAAGTGAACTTGTTAATTAACCTTTCTCTAGGTAGGCAAATTGTTATTTATTATAATTTGATTACAATTCTACAGATTTTCTTACACCTAGGGGTTCACACAATTTTTGTGGTACACCAACATGATTTGGTCCGCATGTTCGAAAAGCAAAAAAAATAAACCACCATTTCGTGACCAAATGCTGAGAAATTTTTTTTACTCCTTTCGAGTCTCCAAGGCTTTCGTGATGACTTTCGATTTATAAATTTAATAATCATGTAGCATTTTTTGTTTGTTTGAGTGGATTGAATAACTGAATCGGGCGCCTGCATTCAACCCTACATTCATGTGAAATAGAAAGAGCCATCATTTTAAGGCTTGCCTCCCCAATAGGCCACAACAGAGAATGATTAGTCCAAATGGAGTTGAATACAAGTAAGTTAAAAAAAGAGTAATAAGGAGAAGTGGAGTTGACTGATGGTGAGAGTTATTTCAGGGTACCCAGGAGTCTTCCTTTAGTGGTTCCCTTTTTCGAAATTCTTTCTCCAAATGAAATGCTATTCTTTCCTTCTACGTTCGGTGCTTAATGAAGGCCTTTTCAGCGCCAACTGGAACCCACCTTGCTGATTAACCTAATTTTTCTGGTCCCCTTCTCTCTCTCAATGCTTGGGGGTGCAAAATGATGTTACACGTATTTCCAACAGCAGACAGTATTATTGTGGCGAAAATGTGATGGATTTGCGTCTATTTATCATAATAATGATGGCAGGTTGAGTGAGAATGTATAACTTTCAAGAGAAACACGAACCTTGTGAAATGGGATAATTTTGGTGGTAGTGGCAGTGTTCCTAGCGCGTGGAGCATAATTTGTGCATTGAAATATGCGCCCTTAATACACCCGAAAGCACTCGCTCAAATCTGCCAATTAGGCGAAAAGAAGAACTTATTTATTTATTTATTTATTTCGAATGACAGACCTTTTGATGGTTACCATAAGCCCTTTAGCTGACTTCGGGCTTCAACTAGAGAGGAGGAGAAACATCAAAGTGGCAAAAAGTGGAGAGGGGGGGGGCAGAGGAGTGATTCACAGGTGTAAAAGAGGCAGACAGACAGACACAAAGGCAGAGAAAATGTAAGATGAGTGCTGTGGAAGGGGTCAAATATGACATACAGTAGGGTCATGGTAGTTTAAAGTCAGAAGTCAACTGCCAGTTAACAGACTATTTTTTGCCGTATGAGTATATGTTGCCCAGAGTGCACCATGTGGAGGCAAGTCTATCGCACACCCCAACTCGACACATTGTAGGGCGCTCAAGGGAGGTAACACACACACACACGAACCAGGGTTGCCACCATTCAAAACTCTTTCGCCTCGCACATAGGCTGCGAAACCAGCAGCACATGGACTATTCCACCTCACGGGATATGCACCAGCAAATAAACGAGCATATCACCATCAGAGTATTAGGTGGACTAGGCACCCCAGGGCAGGCTAGGTATGTGGGGGGAGAAGTTATCGTAGGATACATACGATTCAGCATACCAACAGACGGGGGACGCTTACTCGTTCACTCACCACCGGCAACAGCATCGAAAAGAACAAAGATGATATCCTTCTCGTTGTGATGGAAAGTGAGGCCATTCAAAGTGCAACGCTAATTTGTGTGGTAGTTAATGATGAAATGTTATGGCATTGCACTTCTTGAGTGTAGTAGAAGTAATGGAAAGTGTTACCAGTGACGCCTCACTCCTTGCAGACACTTCTAATCGAGAACTGCATAGCATAAATTATTTATTTATTTCAAATGGCAGGCGTTATGATAGGTATCATTAACCCTTTAGTTGACTTCAGGCTTCACAGAAAGGAAGATAAACAGTAAAGTGGCAAAACGTCGAGAGGGGGACAGAATAATGATTCACAGACGTAAAAGAGACGGACAGACACAAAGGTAGAAAAAGGTGAGGTGAGTACTGTGAAATTATTCGAATATGAAATGCAGTGGGGTCTTGGTAGTTTGCAGTCAGAAGTCAACTGCCGAATAATAGACTTTTTTGCCGTATGAGTATACGTTGCCCAGGGTGCACCACGTGGAGGTAAGTCTATCGCACACCCCTAGCATAAATTATAGACCAATGGTGGATTCACCTCTCCGACCTACTTGAGGGGGAATGAAAAGGTTGGTGGGGGTGGGGGGGAGGGGGGAAGTTAATATTCATTCAGGGAAATTGGGATATCAGAGCAGGGGAGATTAGATCTATTTCAACGTTCCAACACCGATGCACTAAAGTGCATGCGAATTGGGGTTTCGGAAATATTATATAACAATAAATGTATACTTATCCTCTCCCTAATAATATGCTTGAATGGGTTGCTTGTGAACCTGAGTAGAAATAACGTTATTTCCCAAATGGTGACTTTACCCTCCCGAGGTATAAAGACCCTCCTCCTCCTCCTGGAAGTCGTTTTCTTGCCGAGTTCTAAGTCACCTTTTTTGAGACAAGTAAGTATCATTTTTCAGATTTGAAAAAAAATACTGAATGATGTTGAAAAACGGATAAGAGTGCCTTTGTTTAGCTGGCAATGACCGTTGTGAATGCGTGGCAAGGAGAGATAACGTGAACGGCTTGTGGTGGTGGTGGCGGAGATGTAATCAAATGCTATGGAATCGACTGTCCCATCTAATTTCTCTTAGCACAGCCGTTTCCAGGAATCACTTCATATATATGGAACTTCTACAATACATTACACCAACTACTTTCTATATATATTTAATACATTTATCACAGGAGCTAGACATTTTAATCATACGGTTGCCCCTGACAATGAAAACTTCGCCTGTGACATTCAAATATCGCGAGTTGAAGGGCATTGCTTCAGCCCTCCACTTACTACGCGTTACCGCTTTGTTTTACTGCAGTTCATTTGTCTTTCTTCCTTTCTTTCTTTCAGAGTCGATTCGTATCAACAGAGACTGTATCATCAACACATTGCTAGAAGTTTTCGAAATCTTCGTCGCTACCGTCATATCTATGGTGATTCGGTGAGAAAGATATACTTAGTTATTTTTAATAATTTTTAGTAATTATTGAATAAAATACTCAAAAAGAAGTTAAAATATCACTGTAGTACTTGCGTAGTACATTTTCAAAGTGTCGGTTTGCAAAATCCTTCTATCCCAAAGCAATTTCACAGCTCAAATTTTCATTGGTGATTGCTAAAAATTTAATAACAGCTGTTTAAGCCTTAATTTTTCAATCTTTTAAAAACTTACCCCGAATGAATGAAATGGAAAACTTTTTCTACAAATAAATAATGGCTTATAGCATAATTTTAGGTGTGGGAGAGGATGTGTGTGTGTGTCTATTTAATAGGAAACTAAGTGAGACAGTTTTTTTCTCAATAACACCAACAGATGCCAAGGTGAGGATGAGTCGCAGTACTTGAAAAACCAGAAGAGCTTGGGGGAAGGGGGGGAGGGAGGGAGGGCGGAGGGTGGGGGATTCATCAGCTTTGGTTTTATGGAAAACAATTGAGATTTATACACACACCTTCATTGAACAGGCATTTATCTGAACAAAAGCGTGGCACTTGAAAAATCTGCAGACAGAAGAGGTGTGAATAGCGGCGTGTTTCGCCTCCTCAACCTGCACTTCTGAATGTTCGAGCACTTAAAAGCACTACTATTAAAAAAAAAATACGAAAGTCACATTTTTGCATTAGAAGCATCCCTGACCGAAGTGGCCTTTAATTGCAAACGTGCCAAACCAGAAAGTTGACCTTTTGGATGGTGATTTACAACTTCCTCTCGGATTACTTTTATTTGCCTCTATTTTAAGAATTCAAGTAAAACAAAATCTTTAATATATATTTATTTATATCAAATGGCAGGGGTTTTGATAGCTATCATTAACCCTTTAGTTGACTTCAGGCTTCACAGAGAGGAAAGAATATCGAAAGGATAAAAGTCGAGAGGGGGGGGGGGAAGAGAAGAGTGTTTCAAAGATGTAAAGGAGACAGACACAAAGGTGGGTGAAGGTGAGGTGAGTACTGTGGAAATAGTCGAATATGACATGGAGTGGGGTGATGGTAGTTTGAAGTGAGAAGTCAACTGCCTGTTAATAGGCTTTTTTGCCGTACGAGAATACGTTGCCCAGGGTGCACCACATCATGGTAAGTCTATCGCGCACCTCAAATCTTAAATATATATATATATATATGTATTTATTTTATAGCTCACCTCAGAGTTGGCCTTTACCAAGGCGCCTTCAAGTGAAGAGCGCGAAAATCCTTCCGCGTCTGCTTCCAGCATTCAACACCGAAGGAGCTCCGCGGATGAGGCCCTGATTGTGCGAGAAGAGAGTGAAAAGCAAGCGCCTTCCCCCTCCTCCCCACCACCGCCTTCGCCTCCGAGGCACAAGATTTCCAATGTGGAACAGAGGCGAAGGCGTCGACACCTCTTCATCTCCCACCGAAATGCCCACCACCACAGTGAAAGTCAGAGGAGGATAGAGGAGGCTGTTCCTGTGGCCACGGTTATTGTCGCTTTGGAGACTGACGGAAATACGGTAAAAGTACACTCCTGTAACATTATATTCATTGGTGTTACTGTGCACCATTTTATCACACGATATCTGCGAATACCTTTACCTGGCATTTGGCCTCCTTTATCGCATTATTTAAAACAAAAAATATTTCGACAATTCACCTTCTGTTTTGTAAGCGTATTTTGCCTTTAGTAACTGTTCTTGCTAAATTCCTAACTTAAAATTTAGTCTACTAATCTTATTTACTAATTTCCTGTGAGCGTCTGTTCGCTTCAGCAATTGCGCAATGCGTAAATCCACAGGAAAAACAATTTTTTGTTTTCCTGAGCATTTGCTTCAGTGGATAATTCTGGTCTCTGAAAAAAGCTTAACCAGACAAATTCTTCAACATAGTTACTTTGAGAAATTAGTAAGTAGTTCAATTCGAGTGAATATTAGTTGATTATTGTTAGTCCAAATTCTCTGAAATTAATTTTATCAGATCGATTGAGTGATTAATAAAGTCTACACATCGCGGACATGAGTTTCCTAGATCCTTGAAATTCAATCAGATTGATAATTTAATGCAAGCTTCTCTCGACTTTCAAATGATTTCGCTCAATTAAAAATTAAAGAAATTTTTGTAAATGTAAAGGAACTAAAAATGTCCGATATCTGAGTTCACTTTCATATAACATCAACTTCGGAATCCCCGTTTAGATACGCATAACTTTTCTCTTTACAAATAGAAAAATTTATTTATATCAAATGACAGGCGTTTTGATAGCTATCATTAGCCATTTAGCTGACTTCGGGCTTCGGAGAGAGGTGAAGGAACATCAAAGTGAGAAAAAGTGGAGAGGGGGGGGGACAGAAGAGTGTTTCAAAGATGTAAAAGAGACCAGGGGGGAACAGAAGAGTGTTTCAAAGATGTAAGAGACAGGGGGGGGAACAGAAGAGTGTTTCAAAGATGTAAAAGAGACATGGGGGACAGAAGAGTGTTTCAAAGATGTAAAAGAGACAGACTTAAAGGTAGAAAAAAGTGAGGTGAGTACTGTGGAAGTGGTCGAATATGGCATACAGTGGGGTCATGGCAGTTTGAAGTAAGAAGTCAACTGCCGGTTAATAGACTTTTTGTCGTATGTGTATAGGTTGTCCAAGATACACCACGTGGAGGTAAGTCTATCGCAAATCCCGGATAAAAGAATAATATGACTGGGAAAACATGGTAATGATAATTTGAGGTCAGGGTTTAATTTCACTTTTAATCCCCCAAGTTCATTTATGTTTAGTGATTCACTAGGGTTTAAATTCTTTAAAAATATGATAGAAATGAGTGAATTGAAGAACAAAAAGATATTCGAAGTTATCTCAGAGTTTCATGCTAAAAAGCGCCACGGTTAGGGGAAAGCATTTGGAAATTGGCCGAGTTATTGCAGAATTTTAACGCTAAATGAGGTGAATGTTTTTCAGTTCCAGAAACCACCAAAATTCTTATGGCTGCATCGACGATGCTTCGTCTACAATGGATATATATTTCTCATATCATTGACTGAAAGTGTGGCTTCTACAATTGCCTCCAAAATTACGGTGAGTTGTATTCATGGGAAAGTTTTTTTTAGCATTTTTGTTGTAAAAAAGAGAGAACTCCCATAAAAGACCAAGATTTATTTTTATGACATGTTAAAGGAATGTTTTCTACTGCCTATGCAAGCTTCCATCTTTTCCGACTTCTCATTTATGTAATCAAATTGCGTATGTTAAGCAAATGAAAAAAAAATTTTTGTCCAATTCAAAATCACTGTCCGTCATATTTAAACAAATATCAGACTGCTGCAGTTGAATGGGCAAATAAATTATTTGGAATTTCAGACAACATATGGTTTTTCCCACAAACTGCATAACTATTTCTGACAGTGCAGTTCAAATCTTCCAGATTACACGTTTTTGAATTGGATTAAATTTAACTCCGAATTTAGAAACGGTGTGGTTTGAAATTAAATTTGACATAGTTGCATCCTTTTGAAAATTCATTTTAAAAAGAAATAACCTTGATGCGCTTGACATTTTTATCCCAAATTCAAACAAGGGCCAAAACTGTAGAAATCGATTAAATTAATTACTTCTGTTGTTTTATTTGTCGATTGTCCTGCAAAGTGTGGAATTTGCTAATGTGCATTTCAACTTTAACGAGTCTCTCAACTGGGAAGATGAAATTCTGAAATTGTCTGTGTTTCTCCCAATTTCGCAGATGCCAAATACCTATCAGATGTTATTAGGCACCATAGAAGGTAAGCTGGAATTCGAGGTGTCTTAGTAGAGGCGTTGATAGACCTCCTCCAAATGTGTGTGTGTGTGTGGAGCAGAATTTGCTCAAGAAAGAACGAGCTCTTTCGCAGTCCTGAACGCGGCCGTGCAAGACTGCCTGCGTTGGAATGGAGTGAGGGGTAAGGGAGGGGTCTGTAAAACGGTCGATAGGCTGTTGCGCAAACTTTGTTGCAGTTGTGCGCTTCTCGTGCAACCAAAATAAACAAGACTTTTCTCCCTCCTCTGTGCACATACACACACGCACACACACACACACACACACATAGTCTGCAGGTTACCTGTTGTTAACTCTGACCAATGGGCAGGGGGCATGGTGGCCTGCACCATTAAGGGTTTCGGTGTAGGGCATGTTCCCAGCGGCTTGTTCGGGTTACCATTTATACACACACCCGCAACATTACATAACTGCCGTATTTGCCCAGACGCACCACACGAACATTCGATTAGTGCATTCACGCAGAACCAGTTTTGTTGATATCAATTTATGACAACATGGTGGTAGCAGTGTTGTGTACTGAGTTACGTTTATGTACTTGCAAATGAAACATGCGTCTATCTTTCAGTCATTGTGTTTCTACAAATCTTGGTGTATTTCAACCGTAATTTACTGTGCTAGAATGGTTGAAAACCTGAAGAAGGCTTCCATTTTCACCAAACGAGGTAGGTTTTACTTAAACTTTAAAATGCTCCCATTTGATTTAATTATTTATTTTCATGGAAAAAGACGTAGAGTGAAAGAACGCTATTTTGGCAAACAATTTCCTTTCATTCTATTAAATAAAACAAAAGACACTTGCAATAAGATGGAATAACAAAGGAAAATATTAACTTAAATCACTAAAAAATATAAATTAATGGTAATAAATACGAACGGAAGTATATGCCAGTATCACTTATTTAATGCCTTTTTTTGCTGCTTTTCAGTTTCTCATCCACTTGTGTTTATTGGGCTGATTTTGTCCATTTCCATCAAAATAACCTTTTCTTTTCATTATTTACCAAAAAAGCAATATTTTTTGCTATTCCTAAAATAAAAGAAAACGACTTTCACCTTCCACCACAACTGCCCCTCCTTCTCCTCCTTCCACCTCTCTCTCTCTCTCTCTCCCTCCTTCATCGCTTGGCTTTGGGATTAATGCATCGCTAAGGATGGGGGGGGAGGGTTGGGGGTATTACCAGATTGATGAAATGCCTCGCCTAAAAAGAGGAATGCAAATAAAAATTAATTTTGTGGACTTGAACTCGGTGGTTTTGTGTGTGTGTGTGTGTGTGTGTGTGTGTGTGTGTGTGTG